AAACAGAATCAAAGATATTATCTACTTAAAAACATAACTCTTCAAACTGTTTTGGTGCTAGTTTGGTTTAAGTGATCGTCGGGGAGAGTGTATGATTGGAACTGTCTAATTTAATTTTAAATAATATTATTTTATATAATAATAATAATAAATAAATAAATTAAATAATTTATTTAGTTTTTTTAAAATTAACTAAAAGTCCTATTTTTTTTAACTAAGAATTTTTAGAACTTGAATTCAAAGATTTGTATTAGAAAAAGAGTTTGTTTATAAAATTAGAACAAGCAGGATAGTTGAAAATATAATGTAAAAAACTATATATAATGTTAATTTCTTAAGTCTAACTTATAAATACTTACAAGCAAAGTTCTAAAAATCATAAAAAAATAATACTTTTAATATATAACACGGATATTTATTATTTGTTCTCAGGAATGTTCCAATATTGATAGAACTATATAGTAAACCTTTTGATTTCAGATTTGATCTTTACCAAATTTTTTAAGAACTAAGCTGTTTCATTTAGCATTCATTATGCATCAAACAAACTTCAGATCGACTTGTCGGACATGTCTTATGATGTATAGTAAAAGTTGTCTTTAAGTGGTTTTAAGACTCTTCAAAGATTTTTCCGTACAAGTGTTATAGATTGTATATATGTACTTTATAATTATAAACACTCAAATTTAAGGTTCTATTTTTCTAAGCAGTTAGTAACCATAACTAGGCCAACTCACAAGTTTCTAGACTTAATCCGACCCATTTCATACATTATATGTAATATATAAATTTATAATTTTAAATTAATTGCTAAATTTTATTAGTTTATTATTAAAAAATAAAACAATTTATTGATATACAAGTTTTGTTAATAACAAAAAAGCGATCAAATATATGAATAAATATCTTTACTATTAATAATATAAAAATGAATCAGATTTGTAATACTTTCAAGATTTTTTTTAACTAGATAGGTAATAAATAAATAAATAACTAATGATATTATAAAATGAATTCTAAGATACAGAAAAAATTGAAATTAATTTACAAATATTTATAATTGATGTAATTGAAATGAAATGATTTTTTTTTTTTGAAATTTAATAGTACAATATCATGTATTAATAACCATTAATAATAATTCGTTCCTAGAAACACATAAATTTGCCTTTTCTTGACATGAGTTGTTCCATTTGACTTTCGAGTAGTATACGTGCCTTTTCTGCTCGTTCCTTTGCTTTTCGTTCTTCTTCCAATACACTCTCCATGACTTTCTTTTCTTCTTGTACTGTGGATTTTGCTTTTTCCATTTGATCATTTGCTTCGTTCAATTGTTTGCGTAAGTTCTTTATTTGATCAAGATATTCCATTTTTTCGCGTTGTAATACTGTAAGTTGTTGTTTTGCTATACGCAAATTGGTTTCATTATCATTTATTGAATTCTCAAGGGTTGCCACGAGTTGTCGACTTTGTAAATTTTCACCCTCAATTTCTGAAATTTTTTTGTGTAGTTTCTGAATTTCTAATGAAAGGTCTGATGACGCTATTGAATCTGATCTGCTTCGTATACGAGGTGTAGAGTTTTGAGGAATTGGTGGTAAAGGCTGATTTGGAGGAGGCACCGGTGATGGTTTATTAAGACTTGGATGCCGCGGACCTTTCTTGTTATTGGCATCCGATGAATTAGATGATGAGGATGTTGTTGACAGGCGTGTACCACCAACGGCATCCAAATCTGGTCCAACATATGAAGTTCGCTCATCGTAAGACCGATTTTCAAGTTCTGTGATTTTTTCTTGAAGGGTCTTTATGATAATGTTTTGCTGTGTAATTGTGTCATCTTGACGACTGATCTTATTTTGCATGGTAAGGCCATCTCTACTGGGACGCCGCACAGCCGACATAACATGATTAACTTTGTCAACATTTGGAATATTACCACCCATTTCTCTGATCTCTTGTTCTAAACGATTATTATGTTCTATCAAGTGCGCAATCTCTTTTTCCATATCTCTAATTTCGTCTAAAGAATCTTGTTTTAATTGAGCATGCTCTTTTTCGAGTTTAGTAATTTGTTCATTTAATTGTGATATATGTTGGGCAGCTTTGTTTCCACCAACTGAACGTAATTGTTGCATTAATGATTCGATCTTATGATCAAGTTTACCGCGTTCTTCAAATGCAGCTTCATTTGCTTGTTCTAGTAGATCCTTATCAGATTGAAGTTCTTGAATCTTTAATTTTAGACTCTCAACGGATTCTTCATTGATATTATTACTTCCTGATCTTAATTGAGTCAATTCTTCTTCCAATATGCTAATTTTGATATTTAATTCCGAGACACGTTCTTCAGCTTTGGAAATCTTAATATTAAGGCCATCATTGATCTGTCGCAGATTTTCATTTGCAGAAGCAAGTTCCGCAAGAGCCGGATTAGTAGATGCAGAACCACGTATAGAACTTCTATCAGTTGTGGAAGTGACTTTCTGGGCCTCTGAAAGAGCAGTTTCCAATTCAATGATTTGTTGCTTTTGCAGTTTTGATAACGTATTAGTATCTTCGAATCTGGCTGCAGTCTGCGAAAATTCTTCAGCCAATGTTTCAAGATCTTTTTGAAGTTGTTCAACTTGTTGTTCAAGAGTTGCGTTTCGTTCAAGGCTTTCAGTCCTATCAGACTCTAACTGCTTAACTTTCTTTTCCAAAGTCACGACTTGATCCCGATGAAGTTTGGCCTCATTGTGAACTTGTTTAAGTTGGTTGGTAAGATCTTCAACCATAGTATCATCAACATTTTCATAACTCTGAATGACAGAATCCCATTGTGCATCTTCGAGTTCTTTTTGCAATTGATTACATTTATCACTAAGCGACTCAATTTCTTTATTTGCCTTTTTAAGTTTGGATGTTTCTTCAACACGATGTGCCTCAGCTTCTTTTAGTTTAGTTTCCAAGAGCTTAACTTGTTCTATATGTTTTGTTTCTGAAGCTTTTATTTTTGCAAGTTCCGCATTAAACACTTTCACATCTTGTAATTCATTTTTATTATTGTTTGTATCTTGTAACCTGGAAGTTACTTCGGCAAGTTTGGCTTCTAATTCATTTCCACGTCTGGTCGCATCTTCTTCGAACGCCTTTGATGTTTGAAGTTCTAATTGTGTCTTTTGTATAACGGTTTCCAATTCTGAGACCATAACATCAAGGTTAGTGATACTTTCTTCTTTATCCGTTAGAATATTAAGAGTATTCTTTAATTTCTTTTCCAACTCATTAATAATATTTGAACGTCTTTCATCAGAAACCTTAGCATCATTTAATTGTGAACGTACGGTAGCAAGTTTTTCTTCAAGAGTTGCAATTGATTTTTTGCTCATGTTGGAGGAATCCTTAGCCACAGTAAGTTCAGAATTTAAATTTGCTAAAGTACATTCAAGGTTCTTAATGGCATCCTTTTGGCTAGATTCTTTTTCTTTAAGAGCTTCTGTTAACTCTTGAATTCGTTTGATATTCTGATTATGTTCTTTGTTCATAATCTCTATTTGAGAATCAAGATCCACCAAAATTTCATTTTGAGCCGCCATCTCAAGTTTAGTATTCGCTAGTTCTGATCTTAAAGTTCCAACATTTTCATTGCCAGCAACACCTGCTAGTTTAAATGTCTCGATTTCAATTTCCAAAGCTTTAACTATCTTCTGTGCATCATCACGTTCTTTTTGAGTTTTAATTATCACATTGGTCATTTCATCATGATCATCTAATGATTTATCATCATTATTCTTTATAGCAGCCAATTTTTCTCTTAGAGAGTTTACTTCTTTTTCGAGGGAAATTGCCAAGTCCTTTTGAACAACAAAACCTCCTTTTATAGTTTGAAGCTCATTAACAGCTGCTTCTTTAGAAGTTCTAAGTTTATTAAGTTGCGCTTGCAATTGTTCAATTGTGGATTTTTGCTCAGTTTCTAATTCTTTCAAGAATTTAACTTCTTCTTTAACTGTATCGAATATTTTAGCCTCTTTCTGTGCTGTTGCAAGTTTTGATTCATAGTCCTGTACAGTTCTACGCATATCTGATTCTGAAGCTTTCAGTTTAGCGATTTGATCTCTCAGTGAAGAAACATTGGGATCTTCATCGTTGACAAGTTCTAATCGTGTTTCAAGGGTTTCAATGTGTTTACGTTGTTCCCGTTCTGTAGCTCTCATTTTCTCTAACTCTTCATTAAGTTTGTTAACCTCATTTAAATCCTTAGTATTGTGTTCCTTTAATTGAGATTCTACTTCATTTATTCTTTTCAAATGATCTGTTTCTTTAGTTTTCAACTCATTTATTTCACGTCGATATGCGCTTATTTGGGATTTATCCTCAACTTTACGCAATTTTGCTTCAAGATTTTCAATTATGTTCTTTTGTGCTACTTCAGATTCCTTAGCTAACAACAAATCATTTTGGAGTTGTGCAATATCACATTCAACATGATTTCCTTGTTCTGAAAGTTTACTTTCCAAAATTGCAATTCTTTCTCTTTGTGTTATTTCCACAACTCGTAAACGTTCTAATTCATCTTGAAGTTGATTTTCCTCAGGATCCGAACCTAATTTAGCTTTCAATACACGAAACCTTTCAAGTGCAATAGATTCTTTTTTACGAACTTCTATAATTTCTTTTTTCAACCTATCTAATTCCTCTTGAAGAACCTGATTTACATCTTCACCACTCTCTAATCTACTTAAATGTTCTTTAAGTTTTTTAATTTCATCTTCATATTCTTGCTCTTTTTTGTTAACTTCCATGAGTTTTGTTTTGAAAATAAGTGCTTCAGCCTCTTTTTCCCTTAATTTTTGTTGTAGCATACTCTTATCAGCAAGGTCTCTCTTTAAAATTTCGATAAGTTCGTATTTACGTTGAATATCTGATTTAAGTATAAGAAGTTGTTCTTGAAGTTCTGTTACAATCTCTTGTTCTTCATTTAAATTTTCAATAGTATTTGACTTGAGAACTAAATCATGTTGTAAGATAGCTAATTTTTCTTCAAGACTGTTTATATTCGTTCGTGTTGGATCAATATCAAAGTGAATTGAAGTTCGAGGTGTTGGAATATGTTGTGCTTCTCTTGCTTTGCTCAATTGTGATTCAAGATCTTTAACTTTTTCTTCAAGAGTTTGTACATGTTTATCATAAGTTTGCTCTCTAGCAGCAGAATATTCCGAAACATCAATTCCTCTATCTTCAAATTCTTCCGCTATTGTAGCTAATTGGCTTGATTTTTCCAAAATGGCTTGTTGATGAGCTTCTCGAACTTTTTCAAGTTCATCTTCAAGTCCACGAATTGTATTTTGATGTTCAATTGATGGGAACAATAAAGCAGCTATTGTATGACTCTTTGCTTCAATTTCATTTTGAAGTTTTTCAACTTGTTGTCTAAGTTCAAAATTTTCCATATCCGGTTCTATTTTATTGTTACCTTCGAGGCGAGAAGTAGCATCTGCGATATAAAATTGTCGTTTAACTTCTGCTAATTGATCTTCAAGTGATTTTATTGTTAATTGCATTTCTTTGACCTGATCATCATTATTATCATTATTATCAGATGTAGAATCAGAAATTTCAGAATTCTTTAAAGCTTGTTCATCAAGTAATATTTGCATTTCAGATTTAAGTTCATTTATAGTAGCTTCTAATTCTTTAACTTCATTTTTTCCATTTTCTTCACGTTCCTCAATACTTTCCAAAGTTTTTCGTTGTTCTTCTTTGAGTTGTTCTACTTCTTCACGAAGACGATGAACAATCTCAAATTGATCAACTTCACTAGTTGATGTAGAATATTCGTTGTTAGTATACTCTGATCCAATGGCAGACATGACTTCTATTTGAGCAAGAGCATCTCTTCTTTTTATTTCTTCACGAAGTTCTTCAACAATTTCAAGAGCTTCCCGATGATTAATTTCAAGACGAGCAAATTCTTTTTTAACAGCATTAAGACCTTGATCTTTATCTTCATGAAGTGATTCAAGTTGTTTTAATTCAATTTGAAGTTTTTGTATCATAGCAGCATTAGAACTATCCCGTTTTTCTATCCCTTTTAATTCAGAAGATAAAGATTTAGCTTTACGATGAGTGCCATGAGTGGATGGTGATAAAGATTTTGAATCTATATCTGCAAGTTCACCATAAGATGTACCAGTAGAAGATAATGGAGTTCCAGGTATTATATTAACATTAAATTTAATTCTAAGTTGTTCTTGAAGATCTTGAATTTCTTCAAGACATGAAGCATATTTACTCTTCATATCACTATAATCTAAGACAGTCTTTTCATGAGTTTTTTGAAGTTGATATAATTTTGATTCTAAACCTAAAATAGAAGAATAATTTACAGATGACTTTGGAGTATTCGAATCAGGTGGAGTAGAAAGAGGAGTATCTTGATCTGATGAAGTTGAAGAAGCCGAAGCAAGTGAATTTGAACGATAATTTCTATAATCCATTTTTAATCGTTTAAGATGTGATATTTCATCAACCAATTCTTCGACTTTCTTTTCCAACTCAGAAATTCTACGATCACGATCTTCAATCTCTGTCATGAGCATTTTTTTATCATCTTCATTTTTAAGTTTTTCTTGTGTGTAACTTTCTTCTAATTTTGAATAAGCATTTTGTTGTTGATTTAAAGCTTTTTCAAGTTTTTCTGTATTTGAACTCATAAGTTCTATTTTATTTTCACGTGCAGCCAAACGCGTTTCAAGTTGATTAATTAAAATTTCATTATTATTATCATTTCCTTTAAGTTCCATAAGTTGTTTACGGAGATTACTAATTGTTTCTTGATCCTTTTTATATTCATCAGAATCAATTTTAAGTTTAGATTCAAGATCTTGAATATAACATTCAGTTGTTGTTTCACGTTCATGAAGTTTTGAAACTTTATATTTAAGATCATCAATTAAACTTTTACTTTCTTCTCTGAATTTTTCAGCATCAAGAAGTTTTGCCTCTTGGTCTATCATTGAAGCTTCAGTATGACTTAAAGCAGCTCGAGCAAAAGCAAGTTGACTTTCTAAAGAAGTAATAGATTTTTCGTATTCCATGACAACTGGCTTGACAGCCTTTTGAAAATCAGTTAATTGAGATTTATTAAAAGTCATTTCATCCTCCTCTTTAATGGTTGATAAATATGAAGAGGTAGGATTTGAAATATCATTAGAAATATTTTGATATGTTTCAAGTTCAAATGATTTTTTTGCATAATTTTGAGATAATTCATTATAAGAACGTTGAAGTTCAGTAAGTTGATCTTCAAGAGCTTCAATATCTTTATAATTTTGAGTGTTTTCGTCAGTTTTAACGTTAGTATCGATATGTAACGGAGTTTTTGAATTAGGAATTTGACTATCAGATGTGTCATTTCCATTTTCCAATGTATCCTCAGTAGAAACATCAGCAGAAACATCAGTAGAAACATCAGTAGAAATATTTGATGATTTTAAATTTTTAATTTCGGATCTTAATTTTAAAACAAGATTTTGTAAATGTTCCAAGTCATTCCATCCGGCTTCCTCTTGCATAATTATCGCCGTATTCTTGATATTTCGAGCCCGGTTTGCATATTTAAGTGTGTTTATTGTTTCAACAACATTATATTCAGCTGGTGAAACACAAGCAATCATTAATGTTAACGCATTACCACCAAGAGAGTCTTGTAATAAACGCGTAAGTTTAGAGTCTCGATATGGGATATGAGTTGTGTTCTTTGCCTTAGTTGGATCACCCAAAACAGAAATTACATTTCCTAAGGCAAGTAAACCAGAATTAATAGATATACCCTCTTTTATACGATCACCATTTGTTGATGTACGCTTAAGCTAAGAAAATTTTAAAAGATTACTTTAGGTGACATGTGATTGGTCAATTTGATAAAATGATTGTCAGTGACACGAATGTTTAAAGTACATACCCTTTCACTACCAGCCAAATCCACAAAGTGAAATTTGCTAGTTACAGAAACCCAAGTACCATCCTCAAACCTTCTACTCAATCTTGAATTTGACCTAGATTTTGTTTCTGAAAATGCAGTAGTTGTCGAATTCGTTGATGGGGTAAGAGGTGATGGACTTGCACATATTTCATTAGTAGGTATAAATTTCTGTTGGGAGAGAATAACTGTAAAAATAGCATGAGATCGAGATGATTTTGCATTCATATCCGTCGCGCCAACTTGTCGATTTAATGAACCGCGTGATAAATGGCTTTAAAATAATAATAATAATAATAATTTATTATTAAGATAAAAGATAAAGATAATACGGGTTAAAATTAAATACATAAATTTATAGAGATTAATGTTTACCCCATAACTTCACTGACACTATTAACTTTAATTTCTTGTAATCCACTTAATGATATACTTCCATTTGGATCTTCTCTAATCAAGAGTTGTGGTTTATCCTCATCACTACTTTCAGCAAGTAGGTCAATAAGGTCTTCATTATATAATTCCACAAAGGATACTTTCATCGAAAATTTACGTTGTTTGTATTGAACCGAATTTATTGCAGAGAATAGGGTAGTCATTGCACGTGGAATTATACCCGTTGATTCTGGAGATGAAGTAATATCATTAGATGTTCCCATTGTATGAGTTTTACCCGATGAAGTTTGGCCGTACGCTAGAATTGTTACGTTAAAACCTATAGTCGAATAAATATATTTTTAATTAAAACTTTATACATATAATAATATGTAACACAATAAACGTCACGCGTTAACGAAAGTAAAATTTTGAATTCTGTGACATTAATTTTTTTACATATCATTTAATTAATTTTAAAGTTATTATATTAACACTTACCGTCTAAAAATTTATCAACTATTTTCGTTACCGCACGTTCGTATACTTCTTTTTGACTACATTCTTGACCAAAAACGTAGTCAAATGTAAAGTCTTGTTTTTTCTCATGTCGTACTTTGACTTGGTTTGGAGCGTATGCCGCTGTGGAGAGAACATTACGTTGAAATCGTGCTGGTATATTAATTAAGTCTTCTGGTGTTAAAGGCCTTATTCGAAGAGCTAATAATAATAATAAAAGATAGAATTAAAGATAGAATCGATATAGATATAGAATTGCGAAAGACTAATAAAGAAAGGTTTAAATTATTTCGAACTTACCGACTTGTATAGTAGTATCTTCATTTATTGTTGTATTAGACATTTCAACACAAATTGTAATTCGAAAGAGATTCTTTTGTTAAGAATGAACACGGGTCGGTTTTTTAATTAATGATTAATATTATGTAAATGGCGAATGTTTTTTCGTTAGGTGCCAGCCCAGTGTGCGAAGATGCTAAATGGATTTCGGACTGTACAGTGAGTGTATAAGAATTAATCTAACTCTTTTAACTCTAAAGTAAATTTATTTTGTCAGCGATGTGATTATTACTATAAACAAAAATGAATGATAGATTTTCTATTTTTTGCATTGATTTCTTGCAGGATACACGGTTATTTTTTAGTTTTTAGTTTTTTTTTTTTACTATTATTAATTTTTTATTTTATTTTATTTTTTTTTAGGTCGTTTCAAATCGATGTCGTTAACTTGAACGAATGAATGTGAATAGTTGGGAATGGATGAGTGATGAAAAAAAAGGAGTGTAAAAGATGGAAGAGGCTGTCGACGTTGTGTAAACTGCGAGGCAGGAAAGAAAGTAAAAGCTGTGTCAAGAAAGAAATGTTTAGATGCATGCTTTTCAACTATGCAACAAATAAATTAAAAAAAGCTAATACCTTTTTTTATTTTGTTTATCCTTTCTGGATAAAAAGTCACACTAAATTTAACCCGAATGTAATAGTGAATAGTATAAATTAAAATATATAATGAATAATGCAGTACAAATCACAAATGAATGAATAGATAATATAAATGTATTTGCCTTGCACAATCTTTATTCGTTTCTCTTAAAAACAAAACAATTATAAAATAGCTTGCGACAATGGAGTTAATATCAGATATCGTTTGATAAATCAAGGTAAGGATTGGAAATGGAAGGTGCTTTGATATATCTAAAAAACATAGCTTGATAGATGATTGTAATTACCAAAAAGTGTTAATATTTATATTAAAAGCAAGTTTTCCTAGCATTCTTGTGTATCAACGTGATAACAAATATAGATATCGAAAACGGAAAAAAAGAATCCCGTGGTATCAACGCTTAATACAACGTGCCATATTTAATTTTTTCGTGATTCGTGATACTTTCACCACATTGCTGATTAGGTTTAAATATCAACCGGGAGTGTCCCCGTGCAGTACTGCGATCGTACAGTGTTCTACATGCCGATACAGTACCTAAGTCTTTTTTTAATTTCTTAATTCATTAACTATATAGAGATTAAAATGATGTTATTTATTAAAGTGGTAAGTCTCTACGACTGATTTAAGGGTAGTAGTTTATTAATCTGTAAATCTTGAAAATTTAAAGTGCTCTTTCGCAATATCAACACAACTGAACGATTTACATTCTGGTCGATTCATGAATTTGGATTTTACCCTTTTACGGGAAAGAATATAACTTTTGGTAACACTATGCAAAATAAGATAATACTATATCAAAAAGTGAATTACGTTAATATAAACATTTGGTTAGAATAGGAAACCTCAAAACCAATAGCATGCAGATTTCCTAATTGAATATGGTGATACATACCGATACGCATGTACATGTTTTTTTTCGGGCATCTACAGAATCGAATGTTAAACTGGATATTTACCATATTGACATGCGTACTTATGTGTCTCTAATACACCAATTATTTATTTCTCAAATAATTTATCTGGCAAGATATACTTTGTAGATCTAAGCGAATCTTTATGCATTCAAATTTGTATATAAAAAGTGTATCATTATATTATGTATCAGTACTAATATATAATTTTAAACTATTGCTCGGAACCAAGACCATTGGTTAATAGCAATAAATATTTATTCCAGGGTTAAAAGATTTGTCATCGATTCTCAAAAATTTAATCCGATAATTTCTTTCAAAAATCAAAATAAATATGCCAGGTTGGTGCAACAGCTAGCATAGGATTTAAAGACAAAGAAATCTGATGTTTGGCGGGAGAAATTTGTATTAATAATACATTAATAATATTTTGATATGTTCTTTTTTTTTTTTGCAGTTCTGGCGGGAAACTATTGTATCCCAATAATGTGTACGAAGATATAATTAGAAAGTAAGCATATTACACAAAAACAAAACTTCATTCGAATGATCAGAAATAAATTTTTGAAAAAAAAACTTTAATTCCCATTCATTTATTTTTATCTTTAATTCACATTTTCAATGTATATAATGTGTGCATATATATAATAAAAATTAGTTGCATATATAAATCCATTCATTATTCACATCAATTTTATTAAATAAATCTTCTATATACGCCAAATTCAATAACGAACCATATACTGTATTAGCTCAATATTCCCCCGGACTTTTTTTCAAAATGAATTTATGCATGTAAGTAAATGCGCATTGATGTACACCAATGAATATGCGTCTCTGATTATTCAAATCAACTTTAGATGCGTAGTCCTCGTGAACGCGAGTTGGTTGTAATCAAAGACGCGAGTTTTTGCACCTTATATAATTTTTTGCAAAATATAAAAAAATCAATTTACATGATATATATATATATATACTTATTTTGTTGAATAAGAAATTTGAATTTTGTATCAGGCATCTTATCTAATAAATTCAAATATCATTAAAGAAAAACAAAGTCAACAATGTTTGTTGTTAAAAAGCACATGATGTTTATTAAAAAATATATGTATATGTGTCGTACATTGGAATAAATTTAGAACCCACTTAGGTTGATTTATACTCGAGTTGTTAAATAATCCAAATCCTACATTAATAAATTAAATGGATTCTAAATTATTTTTATCTAGCATATTGTTTTGGAATTAAAGTCGTTTTAAGACTTATTAATAACGTAGTGCATCTCAATTAATTAAACATTAAAAGTGTTATATAAATAGCTACATTTATGGTTACTAGGATGACAATTACTACCATAAGGCAAATTTCTTTTTTTACATTTTATTACACGCATTTGATATTACTTACTTGCGAAAACGCTTATGAGCATTGAAGGAATACCTTCCAACTCTGGAAACTTGTCAAGACCCAATGAACACTGATAAATTTGAATCAAATTAAGGGTAGTTCGCAGTTAAAGGGTATAAACATTACTAAGTATCATAGTCGGAACTTATTACAAATTTTTTATAATAATGGAATGCCGATTCACTAATGAAAAGTGGTTTTCTACTAACTTCTTTTGAATTTTTAATTAAAATTGTAGAACATATTATTACGATTATAATGATAATAAAATCATTAAAATTGATTGTATATTCACAGGATATTAAGATTTTTTTCCTTTTTTACTATATGATTTTTTCTTATTGTCAGAAATGTTCGCCATTCCATAACTATATAGTAAAACCTTGCCGTATTTTCATAACCTTTAACTGCGGATTTTCCATTAATAAGTTGAATATTTGCGTTTCAAGATCGCCTAATAGCGAACTTGCAAATAATCAAAGTTTTTAAATGTAATACAAGAGCTATAAAGAATAAAAAAAAGAATAACATAATAAAATGTAATTTGCTTTAATTATCATTACGTTAATTAAAGTATTAAATTTAGAACAAACTTAAGTTGCTATTAAATTTAACTAGAGTTTGAAACCAGGTTAATAGTAAACCGGTCACCCAGGTCAAAATTTACAACCCGGATTTAATACGTATTATAGGATGACATTCGTCTAATTGTTAATTGTTATGGATATATTTGTGATTTCATACGATAATTAACCAACTAAATTATATAAGTACAATTAGAAGATGAAAAAGACTTCATATAAAAGAAGCTTACAGTATAAACTAATAAATACACACAAAAGAATTTATCATATACTGTATATTTAAAGTAGCGTAAATATGATATTTATTACTGCATAATAAACCCAAATTCATTATTAAGGAATCTACAGGATATAAACCAAAGTTTAATTTATGGTTGATAAATCCAAACACACTACAAGAATTAATCAAATTTAAACACTAAGCCCGATTCTTTTACCAAATAGCTCGTAAATCTAAACATAAAATAGCCTTGGGCGAAAACATTTAAACCATTTCCAGTTGTCTTTAAAGTACAGTATAATTTCGCGCATTTCAATAGACGGTGCACATTTTGTCTCTAAGCAAAGTCTGTCAAGTGTGAAATTCTTTTGCATAGTGAATTTAACTGTCGGCCGTGATCCGGAAGAACAACAATTGCACTAATGTTTGCCGTCACTTGAAGTCTAAAAAAAGAGGGTCTACATCAAAATCCCAATATCTAAAATCCTAACATATATAATCTCAACAGAATAAAATACTAAAAAGTTAAAAAAATCTTAATAAATCAAAATCCCAAAAATTAAAATCCCAAAAGTTTAAAATTCCAAAATTTAAACTCTTAAGGGTAGGGGGGTACTATTTTAAAATTATATATAAACTTAATGGTAATTTTTTATATATTTACTTTATAAAAATTATATCAAAATAAACTAATTTTCATTTTAAGTAAAAGTTGTATAATAGGTCTTTCTGATTCTAATAATAACAAAATTATTAAAAATTGATTAAAAGACTCATTGAGATATGAATTTTTAAATATTAGGATATCAGAATTAACTTACAGATTTACGTAAACTAATCAATTAAATTTTTCAATTTTGTATCACTTAGACAAACTTTATTTTATATACAGATATATATTTTTTAAATAATACAATAGTTCAAAATTTTATTACAATAGATAAAAAATTTTATATAAAATTTTTAAAATATCATATAAAACTATATAAAAATAATTTATATAGAATCTTCATTATGAAAATCATCTTTTAACATTTTCTTTTTTTTTAAATATTAGCGGTGAGGCCATGCCTTTAACTTTATTGAAATTCAATTGAAGTTTTTACAAAGAAAAGC